AGTCAACATCATACTGAACAGCGAGAACCTGAAAACTTTTCCTTTCAGATTGGGAACAAGACAAGGATGCCCACTCTCTCCACTTGCATTCAACATAGTTCTGGAGGTCTGAGCCACAGCAAACAGACAACACAAAGAAATAAAAGCATCCAGATTGGCAAGGAAGAAGTTAAACTGTCTCTGATTGCAGATGACATGATATTGTACAGAAGCTTTTTAACATGATGTAGTTCCACTTGATCATTTTTTAATTTTTTCCCTTGCCTGAGGAGATGCATTCAGGAGAAAGTTGCTCATGTTATATTCAGATGACATGACATAAAAAACCCTAAAGAATCCACTCCAAAATTACTAGATCTAATATCTAAATTCAGCAAAGTTGCAGGACACAAAATTAATACACAGAAATCTGTTGCATTCCTATATACTAATGATGAACTAGCAGAAAGAGAAATCAGGAAAACAATTCCATTCACAATTGCATCAAAAAGAATAAAATACCTAGGAATAAACCTAATGAAGGAAGTGAAAGACCTACACTATGGAAACTACAAGAGACTCATGAGAGAAATTAAAGAAGAAACCAATAAATGGAAACACATCCCATGCTCATGGATAGGAAGAATTAATATTGTCTGTCAAAGTGGCCATCCTGCCTAAAGCAATCTACAGATTAAATGCAATCCCTATCAAAATAACAATAGCATTCTTCAATGAACTAGAGCAAATAGTTCTGAAATTCATATGGAACCACAAAAGACCCCAAAGAGCCAAAGCAATCCTAAGAAGGAAGAGTAATGTGGGGGGAATTATGCTTCCTGACTTGAAGCTCTACTACAAAGCCACAGTAATCAAGACAATTTGGTTCTGGCACAAGAACAGACCCATAGACAGTGGAACAGACTAGACAGCCTTGATATAAACCCAACCATATATGGTCAATTAATATATGATACAGGAGCCATGAACATACAATGGGGAAACGACAGCCTCTTCAAGAACTGGTGTTGGCAAAACTAGACACCTACATATAAGAGAATGAACCTGGATTATTGTTTAACCCCATACATGAAAGTAAACTCGAAATGGATCAAAGACCTGAATGTAAGTCATGAAACCATAAAATTCTTAGAAGACAACATAAGCAAAAATCTCTTGAATATAAACATGAGCAACTTTTTCCTGAATGCATCTCCTCAGGCAAGGGAAACAAAATAAAAAATGAACAAGTGGGACTACATCATGTTAAAAAGCTTCTGTACAGCAAAGGACACCATCAGCAGAACAAAAAAGTATTGTACAGTATAGGAGAATATATTTGTAAATGACATATCCAACAAAGGGTTAACATCCAAAATATATAAAGAATTCACACGCCTCAACACCCAAAAAGCAAATAACCCTATTAAAAACTGGGTGGAGGATATGAACAGACACTTCTACAAAGAAGAAATTCAGATGGCCAACAGGCACATGAAAAGATGCTACACCTCACTAATTATCAGGGAAATGCAAATTAAAACCACAATGAGATATCACCTCACACCAGTTAGGATGGCCAGCAGAGAAAAGACTAGGAACAACAAATGCTGGTGAGGATATGGAGAAAGGGGAATCCTCCTACACTGCTGGTGGGAATGTAAAGTAGTTCAACCATGTGGAAAGCAATATGGAGGTCCCTCAAAAAACTAAAAATAGAAATACGTTTGACCCAGTAATTCCACTCCTAGGGATTTACCCAAAGAAAACAACTCAGATTCAAAAAGACATATGCATCCCCATGTTTATTGCAGCACTATTTACAATAGCCAAGATATGGAAGCAACCTAAGTGTCCATCAGTAGATGAATGGATAAAGAAGATGTGGTACATATACACAGTGGAATACTATTTAACCATAAGAAACAAACAAATCCTACCACTTGCAACAATGTGGATGGAGCTAGAGAGTATTATGCTTAGTGAAATAAGTCAGGCAGAGAAAGACAAATACCAAATGATTTCCCTCATTTGTGGAGTATAACAACGAAGCAGAATTGAAGGAAGAAAATAGCAGCAGACTCACAGACTCCAAGAAGGGACTAGTGGGTACCAAAGGGGAGGGGTGGGGTAGGGGGTGGGGAGGGATAAGGGGATTGTGGAGTACCATGATTTGTGCACATGGTGTGTGTGGGGTCACAGGGAAGACAGTGTAGCTCAGAGAAGACAAATAGAGACTCTGTGGCATTTTACTACACTGATGGACAGTGACTGCAATGGGGGTATGGGGGGGACTCGATAATAAGGGTGAATGTAATAGTCACATTGTTTTTCTTGTGAAACCTTCATAAGAGTGTATATCAATGATACCTTAATAAAAAAAAAACCCTATACTTGGAAAAAAAATTGTCTGGGTAATTAAAAGTGAGAACAGGGAAGATGGAGGGGAAAGAAATTATAAAAGAAATCATATAAGAAAAATTTCCAAAACTAAAAGATTAGAGTTTGAGATTTAAACAGCCTATCAAATGACCTACATGATGAATGAGGAAGAAAAAAAAGAACAACATAAAATTACACCAAGAAACATTATCAACAAATTTCAGATCACTGGGAATAAAGAATAGATTTTAAAAGCTTCCAAAAGGAAAATATATCACATATGAAGAACTGGACATCTGAATGAAATCACACTTCTCAGGAGCAATACTAGAAACTAAAAGGTAATAGGGTCTTCAGAATTCTGAAAGAAAATTATTTCCAAACTAAAATTTAGTTAAACTGTGAACATAATCGTGAACCAAACTGTGAGAGTGCAATAAAAACATTTTTAGGTATGCAAAGTAGTAAATGATTTAACTCTCATGTACTAGGAAGCTTCTAGAAGATGTGCTCCAGTGAAATGAAGGATTCAACCAACCAAGAGGAAAATGAGAGATTAAGGAGGAGCTCCAATTCAAGAAGCAGACAAAAGAGTCACCCCAGGATACCTAAGAGAACAGCCCATTCAGAACCAAAGGAGGAGGGTGGACTGCCACAGGACAGACGTCTCCAAGGAGGGAAATACAACTGACTGAATACCTGGGAGGTGTTTGACAGCTTCATCAGAAAGTTTAAAGCTATGAACATATATTTCTTTGATAGAAAATACTTAAGATTTTTAGTTAAAACAAGTAACTTAGAGACTTTGCTAAAAATTACTGGACTACAAGGAGCAATGAAATACAAACAGGAAAAAAGAGGTTTGTACCTTCAGCCTGCATGGACTTTGCTACTAGGAATTGCAACTATAGCAGCATTTGCTTCTAGGAAAAATCAGTTAGGCACTTGACTATAAAATTTATTGTCTAAACCAGAACACAAAGTGAAGGGGGCACTAGAATGAACTACACCAGGACTATACCTGATGTATATGAGTCTGATGTATATGAGTACCCTAACTTTAAGTAAAGGACAGGCCCAAAAAGAGACTTTTAGGATAAGGGAAGGTCATTGGAACCACAACCAACTGGGTTTGAGCTCAGAGCTTGGTGTGTTCTTGTCAGTACACCAAGGCAAAGGCCTAGCTGCTCGCTAGGCGAGCAACATGTTAGGAAAAGTCTGGGGAATGAGAAGCATCTGCATGTCTGCATACCAAATACCAAGTTTAGGCTTAGGATAACAAAAATTAATTCCAGACCACTGATTATGAGAGAACCCCACCCCACCCCCCCCGTACATTTAAGGTATGCTCTGGCACAAAGCAGGGCCAAGCCTGCATATTCTGGGTTTTAGTGGCTATGACCTAATAAGCCTGGGGAAGGTATGATTGACTTAGAACTTCAACATTAATTAGCCCTACTTTAGTTTCTGGAGCAACAGAGAAGACATTTCCCTTTTCTACAGGAAAACTTCAAATTTTTGAGAACAGCTCTAACAACTGTCTCTTATTTTTTCTTCCACTAGCTAAACATACACACTTTCTTCAGCCACAGGAAATGCAATATTCCAAACTGAGCATGCTACTATTCCAGACACAGGCCTACCAAACCAGAGTAGAGCTAAATTGTCATATAACACATGCTTAGTAGAGGGGCACTTCCTATTATTGGTTCATATTAAGTTTGTGATCAAATATCTCCCCCTAAATTTTTGCATGCAAAGAGTTCTGATATCAAGTCAGATTTGTTCTGTACTTGGAAATTTTCATTTGTTGATCCCAAATGAATGACTTTATGCTCATTGCATTAAACTTGGAGGCACAGGGGAAGTGGGAGTGCCTAGGTTTAAGTTCTGGCTCTGCAGCTTGGCCTGTGGCCTTGAGCTAATCGCCTCACCACTGACCCTCAGCTTTCTCACTAAAGAGGAGGAGGGTCAGATGAATAAACATACGTGAAGGCACTTTATAAACTATAAGTGAAATCAGGATCTGAGTTTGTGTGTACTTTTTCATTCAATCATCCTACAAATTTTTATTCAATGCCTATAAGCAGATGCTACACTAGCTACTGAGGTTACAGTTCTTGCCTCGAATCAGTGCCTACAGAGATGATACAGTTGGCTGCCTCCTGAGTTTCCCATTTATACAATTAACTCTCTGCTCCAGTTTTGTCTTCTAAACATGTGATGATAATTCCTTCTCTGCTTTTTCTAGGTCTCTTTATTAATAGTTTAAGTATATATGACATATGATTCTGACAGCATTCTAATTGAGGCCTTTTTCTGCATTGTTGCAAGTAATTCTAGTGGAAGCAGTTTTTCACAGAAATTCATAGTATCATACTATTTTCTAGTTTAGAGCAAGTGGGTTTTCTGCCACTTCCTTTCCCACATGGCCGCTGTCTCTGCCATCTCACAGCACTTTTCCTATGCAGCTGCAGGCCGTCATCCTCTTTGTGGCACCCTGGGCTACCACTCGGAGCCTGGCTGAGAGGGCAAGCAAGCCCTTTGTTTACTGCCTCGGATTCCCACCTATTTCACCAACATCACTGAAGATCTAGCAAAAACCTGCCAAAGTACTGTCTGCTCTGCTGCTCACTTACTGGGTGGTTTGGGACTTTGGAGGCTTTTCTGTCTGGTTGGATGACACAGCCGGGGAGGGAACTGACAAGAGCGAAGGATGACATCTACTGGACAGCAGGGCACAAGAAAGGGCAGTCTTGTCTTCTGTTTTCTTCTCATCCTTTCTCTCTAAAGGGGAAAAACAGAATCTACATTTTGTGTAGAAAATAACATAACAAAGCTATATCCACATTGGACTTTGTCCCCGTAGTTTGCTATATAGATTGTTTCTTTGTAATGAAAGCACGGTAGGGCTCAGTGAAAGGTTAAGTGATATGTATCATTCATTCATTCATTCATTCCACAAATAATTCCTGAGTGCAGGAGATACAGGAGTGGATGTTACAGTATTCTGGTAGGTTGGAAATGTAGTTGCAGTGAAGCACTATGAGTCCTGTGTGTACAAACAAGCCTCAAAACTGTCAGGGAATGTTGGAGGAACTCTGACAATCATGACACATTTGAAGATACAGAAAAAGATGTCTGATCAACACCACTTGATTGCATCAGGCCCAGAAGCCCTGTGGAAGAGCACTTGAACTCGGTCACAATTGTAGAGATGCAGCTAATAGTCTGGGCAGTTCCTAGAAGGGGACTGTAAAAAGAGATGGTGGACATCTGAGAGAAAAAGCACGAGAGATCAGTTGGGCAGAATGAGTCTCAGTAGCAAGGCTTGCTGACTGGGGAGATAGCGATACCAGCTACTCTTGACGTGCTGTGCGCTGCTGGAAGGAGGAGGGGCAGGACGTAAAGGAAAGAACTCTGTCAGCAGGGCCGTCCCCCTCCCTTGTGGCAAACTCCTCTGGGTGTAAGGAGCCAAGAGCACTGCTCTGCCAAGTGCAGAGAGAACACGGGAGCAATGGCGGCAACGGAGTTGAGAGTCAAGGAACGTCGCTGGCAGAATGAGAGAGCAAGCCAAGGTATCAGGAAACTATGGGGCATTAGGGCAGAAAGAATGAAGAGCTTCAGACAACATTTCACATGGATTCATAAAAAATACCAGGGAGGGTCTCTCAAGAAAAAAATGCTGAATGTTTTGCTAATAAGAGGAAGGGAGTTCCAGATCAGTAAGATTTGGAGTACTGCAAGTGAAATCTGGGAAATAACCATTACAGGTCAAAGGGTTAAAATTAGATGTCATATCTTTATGACGGGCAGATTAGTTTCATTTGGCACCATCCATCCATATGGCCATAAGACTTAAAAATACTAAGCTTACAATCTTTGATAATCCTTAAAAAAAGGATCACACTGATTGGCTTAACAAAGAGGTATAGTAGGGGAGAGCTCTACGATTTAATTATTGAAGATGGATACAGAAAACATTCCCTTATATAGTAGAAATTTGCTTGATTGCTTATTTGCTATAAGTGTATAGTTAATCATTGTTGAATCACAGTAAGTAGGCACTTTTTACATTGTAATGGCTGGTGGAAAAGCTTTAGAATTATTAGTCTGTACATAGATTCATCTTCCATCAGCATTTGGGCTGCTTCCAAATTCCTGGATTTTTTAGCACTGGATCAGAAAGAATAACCTATAAGGAAAACATACAGAAAACAGAGTTTTTAAAGTAAAAACTTTTAAAGAGCAAAAACACACAAACCAGCAAATAGAACAGTCCACAAGCATATATGCCTACTATATAGCCACCTGGAAATAAATACAAAGACAAATGAGACATGGTCCCTACTCTCAAGAAACACTTGATCTATCCTAGTTTATACATTCATGAGGCAAACATTAGGATCAAAACAGGTTACAAGTTCCTATAACTTATTCCTTCCTATCACATAAATTTAAATTGGATTTTTGTGTAAAGGGAACTAATCATTTGGAAACACTGAACCATTTCCATTAAAAAGTAAAATTACGCCTTTTAACATGAGATCATTTCTAGAACACAGATAAACAATTACATGTAATTAGGTTTGTGTACCCTTCAGTAACCCTCCAGAGCATAGAATTATTAATATGGTAGTTACAGTAGTTTTCTATTGCTTCTGTAACAAATTACCACAAATTAAACAGCTTAAAACAACACAGATTTATTATGCCACATTTATGCAGGTGGGGAGTCTGGGGTGGTTGGGCTGGTTTCTCTTTTCCAAATTTAACAAGACTGAAATCAAGATGTTAGCTGGCTGGGCTCTTACAGGTTTTGGAATAATCTGCTTCTGGGCTCATTCAGGCTGTTTGTTAGCTGAACACAGTCTCTTCTCTATGTAGGACTGAGGACCCTGCTTCTTTGCTAGCTGTTAGCTGGGAGCCAACCTGAGCTCCAAGAGGTCTCTTGCTGGTCCTTACACTCGGACCACTACATCTCAGAGACAGAAAGGTGTGAAAAATCCTTCTCATGCTTGGAATTCTCTGATGCCATCTACTGCTGTATCTCGTGTCCTTCTTGCACTGTATTTCTCTGAGTGATTACTCTCCTTCCTCTTCTATTTTTAAGGGCTTATGTGACTACTTTGGGCACCTCTGCATAATTCAGGATAACTTCCCTGTTTTAAGGTCAGCCAGGTAGTAACCGTAATTCCATCTGCAAAGTCCTTTCACAGCAATACCTGGATTAGTGTTTAGCTGAATAACTAGAGGATGGGAGTCTTGGGAGATATCTTTAAAATTCTACCTATATGTGCATCTAGACAAAATAAGGAACCAGCCATAACCAAACTTAATAGGTCTGCTAGACAATGACCTCGTTTATCTGGTATCTCAAAATTATTATTAGCCAAAATTACAAATATTTATTTAATAATTCAGTATTTAGAATTTTATAACATACAAATATATAATAAAATATGCCAAAAATAATAACTACCAGGACACCTAAGTATAGATGCAGGTCAAAGTAGATAATTATAGCTTGAATGTCATGCAAAATGCAAAATTTTCTCTAATGCAAGCAGTAATCTGACAATTGATATGTCAAAGGCAACAAGAATTTTCTGCTGTTATTTGAGTTTTCCTGTTAGGAAAAACATTTGAGCTATATTTCCAAGTTATTATAATTGCTTAAATAAGGATTCAGTCTGGATTGCACTATACCTTTCAAAGTGGGTGGGAAGCAGATGAAACTTATCTACTAGAGAAAGCTTTTGGTCTTTAGCTGGAGAAATAATCTTACTCAGAAAGGCACATCTGGTAAAGTTTATTCAATAGTGTTTGCATTGACACTGTGGCTGAGACCTTTTCATACAATGTGTATACAAGCTACCAAGTGTACTTAATGATTTTCAAGAAACTGAAATATAAGCAATATATTAAAATGTATAAATCAGACACTGCTGAAATGGTAAGAAAAATAAGAGTCCAACTTTTAAATTAGCCATGTGATAGTATGAAACAATTTAAGAAGCTTTCAAGAGGTTAAGTACAAGGTAATTGAAGCATCAATAAACAACTGTGCAAATAGATATATTTCATAATATCCAATTAGTTAAAGCCCAAGAATTTGCAATTCATTTTATGGATGAGTGTTGATATTTACCTTTGCATTGTATATGGAAGTACAAGTGTAAAAAAAAATGAAGATTATAAAAATTTTAGGAGATTAGCATAAACTTCAAAATATTTTACACAGCATTTCAAGTACCACTCACTTGAATAACAGTGTGATAATAATATATATGTCTCTTCTGTTATTTAAAGGGAAGTAGTCAGAAAATATGGTCTATATGTGTACTGTCCATTACAGTAGGCAATAGCCACATTTATATTAAATATGGGAATTTATAATTAAATTCAAAACAATTTCCCTTCAGTTACATTAGCCACATTTCAAGTGCTCAGTAACCACATGTGACTGGTGGCTACTATACTGGATAGCAAAGATATTGGACATTTCCTTCAGTATGAAAAGTTCTATTGGGCAGCACTGACCTTGAAAGAACTATTAAATAGCTATTAAAATATTAACTGTAGCAATGTTGAGATTACTTGCAATAAAATATTAAGTGAAAAAATACAGGTCAAATAATATATACACATATACCATTAATTGCAATGATGCAAAAATTCAGGTTAATTCCTTCATTCCTGTTACTTAGTACTTACTAAATGTCAACATGTCCTGGGTAGGTCTGGGGGAACCAAAGATGAGTCAGACCTATTCCCTGATCTCAAGGAGATTATAGTTCAGTAGGGGAAGACTTAAGGAAACAGTGTGTGAATTATGGTATTGCTGGATGGGGTACAAAAAAAGGCTCCCCAGACTGAAGCCACCAATTCCACCTAGGAAAGGAAATCAGGAAAGGCGTCCCAGAGGAGGACGCATTGGACCTGACTCTTACAATGTGAGCAGCTGCTTACTGGACAGACTAAGGAAGAGGGAAGGAGAAAAATAGGCTGTCAGTCTGATGGAGAACTGGACTGGGCACTTTTTTAAGGTCCAAGGCTTGCTTGGGTTCGTAACTGTAGTTTAGAACTCTATAAATAGTTTTTAACCTGGATTGAACCAAGTGCTGTGAGTGAAGGAAAGCATGAAGATGGAATAGGAGTGGGATTGCACCGTGTGCCAGGGAGAGCCTGAAGCACTGGTGTGAGGATATAGATCCTTTGTCAGGCAAAAGAATCAGTTTTAACCCTGAAGTGAACGTAGAACTGAAATATTTTAAACAAAAACATAAGAGATCAGAAGGAAGTGCTAATAACAATAGCGTTAGGGTTTTTCTTTATTATTATCCAGTGACTTTCTTTTTCTTTCCACTATCTTAAACATCTTCTGAAATGTGGGCATATTTGGTTTATAAATCTATTTTAAAACTAAAAAGACAAACATTTGCATCATCTACTGGTTCTCCATGAAATAACTGGTTATGCTTTGTTGTTACTTGGCATTACTAGTTAAAAGTAAAAACAATCATCTATTAACCAGCTTTTATTAAGTACTTTTCTTGGACCATTCATGGTTTTAAGTACTTTACATGTATTAATTCATTTAATCCTCACAAGCTATGTGAGGTAGCTACTAACAGCACCATTATACTGATGAAGAAATTCAGGCATTAAGAAGTGAGGAAACTTGCCCATCAGCACAAAAGTATTATGTGGCAGAACCAGGATATGAAGCCAAGCAACCTAAACTCAGAGCCCCAGACTGACTTTTTATTTAATTATCTAGCAATTGAAAATTTCCACCATCTCACTCTGGTTTGCCCTTAATCATTATATTTTGGGAACATTCAGTTTTACTATTCTTAAAGCAGATCCTAGTTTAAGATGGTAAAGATAGGAATGTGACTCCGTTTAAAGAAATTCAAAAGGTCAACCACAGACATCTGCATATCACACTTACTCACTTCAAATTTTTGGTTCAAATGTGTCTCCTAGAACATGGCCAGGCACGGGTAGATACTCCATACATATTTGCAGAATGAATGGATGAATAAGTTGACAGTGAATGTTTCAAAAAGATGAAGTATTACTTAGTATAAAAGATGACTAGAAAGAAATTAATTTTTTTCAATAGTAAGAAATGTGAGAAACGGAACTTATATTATAACCTGCTTCTGAAAAAATTTAATTAAGCCAGAATGTTATAGTCTCTAAGTATCACAGATAATCAGAATTTGATGGTTTATCTCCAGATATTATTAATGATGAGCAGGTTCATGATGGAATATTATTGAGCCAAATGTAAGCAGTCAAAGTGTGAGTGAAATCAGTGATTGTAGCACCAGATGAGAGAGGAGGCACGTTGAGGGTCAGGAGTATCATAACACTGAGAGAAGCTTCTAAGGAGCATGAATCCAGGGCAACTAGAGACATCTATCTGAGGGGGAGGGGGGAGAAAATATCTGATTTAATTGTTCACTGGGTCTGATGTGAAAGCTTATAAAAGAGCAAATAGCTAGCACTGTCAGAAACAAACGTAAGGCTGAACATTTAAAGTTGTAGTCACTTGATTTACCTCTCTGAGGAAGACAAGTTTCATGAATGAGGAAAGAGCATATTCAATATTATGAAGTGAAATTAGAAGCCAAAACAAATACTAAGACTGTATCTCTAGAAACTATCCAGTTTTCTTTGTAATAAAATATGTATTTTTCAAGACTCTATGCTATATTTTCATCCCTGTGATTTATTTTTTAATTACAAGTTTGTACCTCTTTATCTCTTCACCTACTTCACCCATCTCCCCAACCTGCTCCTCTATGGCAACCACCAGGCTCTTCTCTGTGTTAATGTGTCTGTGACTGCTATGTTTGTTCATTTGTTTTTCAGGTTTCACAAAGAAGTGAAATCATAAGGTATTTGTCTTTGTCTGCCTTATTTCACTTAGCATAATACCCCCTAGGTCCATCCATGTTGTCACAAATGTCAAGATTTCATTCTTTTTTTATGGCTAAGTAATATTCCTTGTAGATCTATATCACATCATCTGTATCCATCCCTCCATAGATGAATGCAACTTAGGTTGCTTCCATATCTTAGCTGTTGTAAATAATGTGGCAATAAATATAGGAGTACATATGTCATTTCAAATTAGTGATTTTGTTTTCTTTGGGTAAATTCCCAGAAGTGGAATTACTGGGTTGTATGGTATTTCTATTTTTAATTTTTGAGGACCCTCCATATTGTTTTCCATAGTGGTGGCACCAATTTACATTCCCACCAACAGTGTATGAGGTTTCTTTTTTCTTTACATTCTCACAAATACTTGTTATTTCTTATGTTTTTTCATACTAGCCACTCTGACAGGTGTGAGGTGATATCTCATCGTAGTTTTGATTTCTGATGTTTAGTGATATGGAGCATCTTTTTCATGTGCTTGTTGGCCATCTGTACGTCTTCTTTGGTAAATGTCTATTCAGGTCCACTGCTCCTTTTTAAATGTTTTTTTGGTGTTAAGTTATATGAGTTCTTCATATATTTTGGATACTAACACATAATTGGATATTTCAGCAGCAAACATATTTTCCCATTCAGTAGGTTGCCTTTTCATTTTGTTGATGGTTTCCTTTGATTCAGACAATTCTTAGTTTAATGTAATTCTACTTTTTTAATTTTGCTTTTGTTTTACTTGCCTGGGAGACATATCCAGAAGGATATTACTAATGCTGATGTTTACGAGTTTACTGCCTATGTTTTCTTTGGTTTTATGGTTTCAGTTCTTACGTTTACAGTTTATTTCTGTGTATAGTGTAAGACAGGGGTCTATTTTCTTTTTCTTTTTTTTTTTTTTTAGGAGAGCCAGGGAGAGACTTTTATTTAGAAATAAAGTGAGAGAACAGAACTCCTGGCTCATGCCAGGAGGGGATAAGAGAGCTCAGGGTGATGCTTTGTCAGGGGAATTTATATGCAGTTGAGGATTTTGGGGAACTGATAAAGGACTTAGAGGTGTGGACTTGTTAAAAAAGGTCTTAGGATGTTTGTCCTTGATGAGACATTAAGTCCCTTTTAGCATGCTAAAGTGAATCTTACACATGATTACAAATGATTAACATAATAAAAACATGGGCTACTTTCCTTTATCTGGGGAATATTTGCAGTTGAGGATTTTGGGGAACTGATAAAGGACTTAGAGGTGTGGACTTGTTAAAAAAGGTCTTAGGATGTTTGTCCTTGATGAGACATTAAGTCCCTTTTAGCATGCTAAAGTGAATCTTACACATGATTACAAATGATTAACATAATAAAAACATGGGCTACTTTCCTTTATCTGGGGAATATCAACTGATCTCACTGAAGAATGACTCTAGAGCTTAATGTTTAACACAGAGTTTTGGTAGGGGGTTTCCTTGCATGTAGTTACATTGCACTGACTGTAAATATCCTGCCTTGCTTTTTCCGGAGGCCCTCACCCTACTCTGACTATACCCATGGCCCCTGTGTCATTCCCCCCTCTACAGATGGAGACCCTAGCTGCTGCTAGGGAAAGGGGGCGACGACTGCTCTGGCTGCTTCATGTTGAGAAGGGGCGCAGTAAAGGGTGCAGTTAGGTCTCCATTACTGGTCAGTCGAGAGGGCCTCGGAAGATGGCACTTTTATTCTGGGTTCCATTACTATTTACAGTTTTATGGCTTCTCCAAAGTTATCCCAGACGATCACCCGAAGAAGATGCCGTGTTTGCAGAGTTGAAGAATGAACTTAACAAACACTCAGGGTAGGAGAGCCAGGGAGAGGCTTTTATTTAGAAATAAAGTGAGAAGACAGAACTCCTGGCATGACAAGAGAGCCTCACAGGGGTCTGTTTTCATTCTTTCACATGTAGTGGTCCAGTTTTCCCAGCACCACTTTTTCCCATCATGTATTCTTGCCTCCTTTATCATGTATTAATTGACCATATTGGTGTTGGCTAATTTCTAGACTCTATTGTGTTCCATTGATTTATGTATCTATTTTGTGCCACTACCATACTGTTTTGATTACTGTAGCTTTGTAATGTAGTTTGAAATCAGGAAGTGTGATGCCTTCAATTTTGTTCTTCTTTCTCCACATTGTTTTTGTTGTTCAGGTCTTTTGTGATTCCATATAAGTTTTAGGATTATTTGCTATAGCTCTTTGAAAAATGCCATTGGTATTTTGATAGGGATTACACTGAATCTGTAGATGGCTTTGGGCAGTTTTAACAATATTGCTTTGGGCATGTAAGTAATATTCATTCTTTCTATTCACACATATGGAATAGGTTTCCATTAATCTGTGTCATCTTCAGTTTCTTTCATCAATGTCTTAATAGTTTTCAGTGCACAGATCTCTTACCTCCTTGATTAAATTAATTCCTAGGCATTTTATCCTTTTTGATACAATTGTAAATGAGATTTTCTTGATTTCTCTTTCTGTTAGTTTGTTATTAGCATATAGAAATGCAAAATTTCTGTGTTTTAATTTTGTATCTTGTAGCCTTACTGAATTTATTTATATGTATTCTTTCATTGTAAAGGGTCTGAACTATTAATTTCACTTTAAAAATACAGTCTTTATAATTCAAGTTCCATCTTATAGTCTTGATGCAGAAATGTTGATTTAAATAAGCTTATTCCAATCCTTAAACATTTAAGTATGCATTGTACATTTATTTCTTATATTTTGAATAACTGGGGTAATTAAAAGTATTAAAGAAGGCATCATATTAATCTGTTCCTACCTGGAGGGTAAGTAAGATGCTGCTCAATGTATAGCTTGTATTCCATTCTTCAGGGTTGTCCAAAAAGTCTATATAGGGTTGGTCAGTCTGTTGATCTACTGTATTAAAATAATACATTAACATTGATACATATAATAAAATTATTATTTAAAATTAGTAAGATCAAAATATCATAGGCAAAGTTAGAAAGCAAATGGCAAGCAGGAAAATTATTTGCAATGAATGTGACAGTCAGTGTGCTGTTAGGAGCATGGACTTTGGTGTCAGACCTATATAGATTTGAAAGTTGACTCCCCCACTTATCACCTATTGTGACATTGAACAATTAACCTTGCCTCTCTTTGCTCCTTTTTTTAATGTGTGAAATTGGCATATGATTAAAGTACCTACCTTCACTGAAAAGAATTTTAAAAATAAAGTACTGGCATATAGTGAATCCTCAAAAAAATGATAGCTATCATTATTCATAATACTTTTATTACTGTATAAAAAGGTTTTGCAAATGAATAAGAAAAACATTAACATTCCTATAGGAAAATATTGCAATTAAAGGTAAGAACTGAGAAGAAAATTTTGAAAAGATGAAAAGAGGGGTTTTTGACTTAGTCTATTATACTGTATTATAAAACTGCAATAATTAAAACTGCAGTGGAACACAAAATTAGAGTGAACAATATAATAAAAGAATTTAGAAACAAATCCTAGTATATATGAAAACTGTTAGACGTTAAAGGTGAAATTGTCAGTGATGAAAGAAAATATGATCAACAAATGGTACAAAAAGTGCTGTGAAACTACTCATCGCCCTCCAGTATATATTTTCCTTTCTTCCATTTCTTTTCTCTATAATAAGAAACACTATGCCTGTGTCTCCTCCTTCCACCTGGCAGCTTCAGATGAATACATGGTTGCACCCACTTTTTCCAGCCTTTCCTCTAGCAAGATACAAAGATGTGACTAAGTTTTCATCATAGGATATCAGCAAAGTGTGCAATTTCTCGATCATATTTTCTTAGGAAGCTGTTTGCCCACTTTTTCTTTTTCCCTCTTCCTGTTGACCAGAAATGGTGACAGAGTAAATGCCTTAAATCCAGAAATGGAACCCACTCATTGAGGATGGTGAAACCTCCCTGTCAGCTTTGTTCCTTTATATATAGATTAGAAAGATACACAGAAGCTTGGCCTAGGCCCTAACATAGTTAATTATCTAAATCAGTATTTGGCAAAAAAAAATTGAGTTAAATATGAAAACATAAAACTACAGAGTAACTAGAAGATTAAAATGATTTGACTGTACTTGGGAAAGAATCGTGTAAGTTCAAAGACAATTGCAAAAATCTCAAAGGACAAGACTAACAGATATGATGCCATAAAAAAGTGTAAATCCCAGACATAAAAACATCAACATAAACAAAATTTTAATTAATTTTTTAAATTGACAAAGGGAAATATTTGCAACATCTAGGACAATGTGATAACACTGTTAATAACTCTGACAATTCACAGAATAAGAAACACAATCAAAAGACATAAAAAAATGTTTAACTCATAAGTATTCAAAGAAATGCTTATTAAAATAGCAGCCAGTTATTAATAAATTGGCAAAAAAATTCTCCAAAAGACCTCCCAGATTTGTGGAGTGCTAAAATGAGAACTTTATATACACTTACTGGTAGAAGTGTAAACATCATCTCCAAAGGCAATTTAACACTACCTATCTAAAGAATTGGAACTGTAAGTAGTTATCTTTTAGAGTCAGGGGGCTAACAAATAACATGCTTGTCCTCCCAAGTTCATATATAATGAAATAGACCAAGTGTTGAAAGATGGAAGTAAAAAACATCAACTTTACTGTATGCAAGACTGAAATGGAGAATGTATTTGATCAACAGCTTTAACCTTACTCCATGAAAATCTCCCTGATTTGAACTTAACCCTCAAGTGAAGGCATAAGTTTCCTGCCTGGAGAAACTGAGACCAAACCCATTCTGATGTCAGGCTGGTTGGGAAAAACAAATGTCAAGAAAGTGCTGAGCAACACATGTTTTTTTTCTCCCAATTCTACAATTAAGTAAGTCATCCCAGGAGGAGGGAGGGAAGGAAAGAGGAGCAATCACAAGTTTTCCCAAACTTTTCCCTCCTAGAGACAGAAGTTCTCTCTACTCTATGGAAATGGGAGGGATGAGGACTAAATGATAAAAAAATAGGTCCTTCCACCCTTGTTATATGTAATCCAGTAATTCCACTCCTCTTTATTTTGAGCAAATAATGGCAAATGTATATAATTGATTTTGTACCATCAGTTTGACTTTTAAAATAGGTTTTAATTATTAAAGTAATAATATACTTAGAAAAAATTATGTAGAAGTATATGAAGTAAAATATGAATGTTCTTCTGCCTACTAATGCCACTCTTCAGAGTTATTACCAGTTGGTCTATATACATATACACACACATATGTGTGTGTGTGTGTGTGTGTGTGTGTGTGACTGCAATACATGGTTTTGTTTTTTTATTACATGAAGTTATATTTTACATTTTATTCTCCAAAGTGTTTTATTCATTTAACAGTAAAGCATCAACATATTTCTGGTTCTGTTTATTAAAAAAAAATTTGAGCAACAACTGTGTGGTAGGTAGTGAAGATTCTAAGAATATAACAAGGACCAAAAAGTCCAGTCTTCATATATCCCCAATTATGTTTAAAAGCAAGGTATGTATAACTACAGGAAAACTTACTTAAAAATTCCCATATTAATATTCCCATATTAGTTATTTCCCTATTTCCAACATTGTTACTGGCAACAAACATCTTTAAATATTAAACATACTCTTGCATACTTATGCTAGTATTTCTGCAGAATAATTTGTAAATATAGTATTTAAGGCTGTTTGCTTTTATATCTGGTTAGAAACTGTCAAACTGCTTCCCAAAAAGATCACACTAAGGTCATCACTATGCCAGAGAACCCATGTTTGCCCACCCCTAGTAAATAATACTTTTAAGCATAAGTGATAAGTCACCATTTTTTGTTTTAATATGCATTTATTTTCTTATTGGTGAGTTTTAACATATTTTTATGTTTATTTTTATGCTTCTAGCAAAGGTGTATAACCTTTGCCCATTTTTCTATTATTTTTTTATTGATTTACAAGTGCTATTTATATGTCACAGATACTGTTTTATGTGTTGCAAATAATTTCCCTTTGTTTGCAAAAGTCAGTGTAATTGCTTTCTGTTTATAATGTCATCAGCTGTAGAGAAGTTTTCAAACATTTTTGTAGTTTAGTATGTCATGCTTTTCTCCTGGTTCCTAAGTTTTATTGTATTTGGAAAGGCCTTCCTCACCAAGCCCATAAAAAATTCTATTAGATTTTTTCTCTATAGCATTTAAGAATTTGATTTTTGATCAAGAAGAATTCACTTTTTGTCTAACTTGAAGAAGCAATCTTACTTATTTCTTTCTAACATGTTAATTTGTCAGTGCATCATTTTTTTGTGATAATAAAAACATAGGTCAAACTAAAATATTGAACAATATAGGAATGGTTAAATTTATCATTTCAGTCATTAAAAATAATCTTTTGAAGAATCTCTAATAATGCAAAAATACACTTACTATGTCCCTTTAAATTAGAAAAGCTAGATGCAAAACTTTATGTGTACCCAACTACTTAGGAAAAATACATATATAGAAAAAAGGAAATAAATGTGGTTAAATGTTGAGAGTTATATCTCTCTGAATTAGGATTCAAGAAGATCATTTTTGTCTGCCTTTTAATATTCTCACTAAACATGATTACTTCTATAATCATAACAAGGTTATTAAAAAGAAACATTATCAAACATTAACAAGGATAATAGGGAAAGAGTACCTGATGATAAGAATCTCATTTGGTCCTTACCATTCAGATGAAAAGGAATCGTTCTGAAATTCTAACTGGAGGGACAAAACTGTAGTTTGATGTAAAATGTATTGTCAATTGGAATGATAAAGAATAAACATTTTTACTAAAGTGTCATGTTATACTGATTGGATGTAACCTGAATAACACTAAAGTTTCTTTCTACACTTAAAAGCCTCCCCAGGATCCCTGGAGTTTTATTTCTAAGTAAATAGGGCCATAGGGTACCAAGGCTCCTCTAACGGTATAACAGACTCCTCATATTCTAATCCCACGGTGTTTTGCCACCAGTCCTTTCCATTTGCTAACTCCATCTCTCTAACAGTGCCCCCATCACTGTATATCTCATATTTCCGAACTCCCTGTTCCAGAATCTTCTCCAGTCTATAAGCTTTTTGCCATGCTGTTTACTCTTATTAATCCATGATTGAAGATGCATGGTCATTCATGCTTCTAGCAGCCAAGTTTTCTTGAAAATTTAATTTATGAAAATTTGGGGGCAAATTGTAGAGAAAAAAATGAGAGAATTGTGGGATTTTTTTGCCTGAATTTTTTTAGCCTTCTTTGAAACTTGGCAAACTTGTGCATATTCTTCAGAACTCATTTCAGTGTCACTTCCTTGAGAAGACTCTCCAAGGCAAAATTAATCACTGCCTCCTTGGCATTCTATTCAAAATCTGTAAGAGAATGTAGTATCCTTTATTTTAATTACCCACTTACATGTTTTTCTCTCCTACCTTGCTCAACAAATCTATGTTGTTAATCCATGATTGAAAGTGCATGCTCATTAATGTTTCTAGGAGCCCAGTTTTCTTGAAAACTTAATTTATGAAAATTTGGGGGAAAATTGTAGAGGAAAAAATGAGAGATAATTATGGGATTTTTGGTAGCTATTCTCTGATTTCATGGGAGACAGACAATATTCTCAAGTAATATGCTTTACTGTGTTCGCTTCTTAAAAACATAGTATTAAGATTTGGCATAAAGAAAAATTCAGACCTAAAATTTTCATCTATGTTGACAAATGGCAAAAAATTAAGCCACATAATTCAAAAATAACTTGTGAATACTTTTAGAGTTCTAGAATATTTGTATGATGCAACGTTATTATACATATAAAGAAGATAGGTTAATAATGGCATAAGGATTTTTTAAAAAGTAAATTGGTTTTGAAAACACAAACCATGCCAAACTGTATTCTATTGACCTTCAATTTCAGCTTCCCATTCTATCATGTCTTCACTTAAGGAAAGGCAATAATACCCTTTAATTTAAAAAAATCAAAACAGAAGATTAATATTTATTGCAGCTTTCAAAATCAGATATCAAGTTACAATTATTCCTAAAACTCTACATTTCTTTTCCTGGTATATTTATTTATTTGTTGGTTTGGGCAGGTGTTATATATTGTCTTATTACACAGAAGTTAAAGTAGATTCCAGGAAACACACACAAAGAACAACTAGTAAATTTATAATAGATCAGATTATAAATTTGCTGTATTTATAATCTGTGTAGGACTACAAGGTCAAGATTGGGAGGTGTGGCTTATGTAAATCAATAGCCAATTTAAGATTCAAATTAGGAAAGGAAATAGTTGGAAAGCATGCATTTCTTCAAAGCTTTTTAAAACTATACGGATGTTACATGGAAGACATGAAGTAAGAAAATTTTCTTTAAGAAAAACACAACTCAAATTATGTTTGTGTATAAAAATAAATTTTCCTATACTTGAGGTATTGTCCCAATGGAGAGACAAAAATGTATTTCATAGAAAACCTAATCAGTGATTCTGAGAAATATATTTAATATAGTCAATAAATATCTCTAAGCAATTACATAGTTATTAAGTATGTTAAGTGCTTTGTTCCACAAAGCTCAGGTGGAACAGAAACAACATCAAACAGTAAGTTTATGCCTCTGATGTTTGTTGTTAGACTCAAAAACTGTCTCTAACTTCTCCAGTGAAGGCAAGACAGTCCTTTCACAGCAAGAGTAGAAACAGAGCAAAGTGCTGAAGTATATCTACAGCAACTGTGGGTAATACTCCACACCCTCCTCCTACGGATGGCGTTCTTTCTGTTTTTTCTCTGAAGTCCTCCTGACCTCCCCTTTCCATATTTTATTCTCCATACTACATGCAATAAACCAGTTTGTGGCACCCATGAACGCTGATAACCTCACTTGGTGGCATTCCAGGCAAAGCCTTTCTCTGTGTTAAGATTATAAGAGGAAAGCATTTATGTGTTATCTGTGACAGCAGTTGGCAAAGAGTGCACTAGACAGTAAGTAAAAGAACTCAAGATGTGAAAGCAAGGGTTTTTGGAGTCAGAAAACCCTGTGATGGAATTCTGGGGCCAAATATTTACTGAACATTCCTGAGGTTTTGGTTTCTAGTAGGTAAAACAAAACACTACTTACTTTAGTGTTGTACTTAATGACTGTAATAAAGTAAATTACTGCCTGACAGACCCTGATATTCAGGGCTAAAATACACATAAATTAGTGTGCTCAATATTGTTAACTATTACTACTGTGAAATAATGATAATTATTATAGTGAAATAGATTCTTTAATTAACAATATTGTACCAAAAAATTAGCTTTAAGTAAACTATGCCTTATAGAATAAACACAGACTAAACGGATTTTAAATATTCGTGCCCCAATGAAACACATCCCTCCAGGTCCACAGTGCATACCTCATAATTCTTCTCCTTTAACTCTTGAAAGTCTTTCTCCAGCAAGAAGTAAGTTCTGCAGTGCATGATAAGACAACAAAGTATCTGGCACTTGTCACCACACTCCTAGGATTTACTCACCCTCTCACACCGGGTTAACTGACGTAAGTTACTTGCTCTCTAGAGCCTGTGTGCTCCCAAGATAAGTGGCTTCTAAGTTGGACGTATAACAGTGACTTTCTTTTCTCCTGATTGCTCTAAACGAGGACGTCCAGAAGGAAAACTGGACACTTTCTCCACTGCGGTGTCACTGCACTGTCAGCCCACAGCCCAGTCTCAAGGCAAACTTGAATGAGTACCTGGGACAACCGTGTTGCCTGTGCGTAAAGTGGGCGTGAGAGACGTAAGCGCAGGGCGGTCCTAGCCGGTTGTTTCCAGGTTACAGGTGCAGCTGGGTGTAGGTTCAGCTGGAGATTGCAAATGAGTTGCCAAGCAACCCGATGCTGTGGGAAAGTAGAGAGAAGGCGGTGGGAGCTTGGCCACACCCCATCCAATCAGCTACAAGGAAACAGGCCTCTGGATACCTGTGCAGCCAATCATCCAACCGTTTCACTTTGAATGGCCAATGAGATTCGTTGTCAAAGTAATAACCCTCCCGCAGACCCTGGCTGCTCAGTTCGCCAAAGCCGACGGGTACTTAATGTAAAACGTCGACGGTAAGGTGCCATTACATAGCATGTAAATCACAGAAGCCTTCACTCGAAGTCCCTCTCTGAAATGATCTTTCCTATTTCTTAGAATATCAGAAACCATCAGATATTAAGTGACCAACTAGTAGGTACAGGTCTGCGCTTATTAAGAACAACTTACATGGTAAGTTACCAGTTATAATAGGTTCGCATACATTATTATGTCATCGAATCCTACATTACCCTGGGATGATGCTCCAGGAAGAGGTAACTACTTAAAATTTCTCATATTTCTATCTCTTGCTGCAGAGTTTTGCATCTGCTGTTTCTTCTATTTGGACTTTTACCACATTCTTTCTTCCCTTCCCCCATTTTTCCTTCACTTATCCTTCAGATTTAACTTTGCCTATGACTTGTAGGATCCCCTATGCCAAGATTTAGGCTCCACTTCTTTGTGCTCCTAAAGGGCCCTATATTTACCTCATTGATAGCATTTATTGCAAGTCTTGTAATTGTCTATCACCTTCTCAAGCAAACTGTGAGCTACTCAAAGACTTCCATTTGCCAGTGACAGCTACAGAACCTGTCATCCTTGTTCAGAGTGCTTTTTATTTATTTATTTTTACTTCTTTTATGGGATTGAATATCAGTTCAATTAGTTAATTCATTTCACAAGTATTTATTAAGTACTTATTATGTGCTGTGGATTGATTCAAGTGAAGTGACCGCCTTTATGGTTCCAGTGTACAATAAACAAGTATACAAAACAGAACAAACAAAGCAAAAACTGTAATTTCAGACAATGATAAGTGCCATGTAGACAATAAAACAGTAATGTGATAGAAAGTGGAATTGGTAGATAAGGATTAGAAATGGTGGTCAGGGAAGGCCTCTGTCAAGAGTGGACTTCTAAGGCAATACATGAAAGATCAGATGAGAATGAGCCAGCTCTATGAAATGTCGAAGGCAGAGAACTCCAGGAAAAGGAAAACAAAACAGTTCTCAGGAGAAAGCTAAGCTTGAAAAGGGAACAGGGGAGGACCTGAGAAAGCAAGGGAGAGGTGATAAGGCTGGGGTTGGTGGGGGGCACACAGAAGGAAATTTGGGTTTTAATTTGAAAGCAGTGGGAATCTATTGGATGCTTTTGAGCACGGGAGTGTCATGCTCTGATTTACATTTACCAAGTGACTCTGGCTGCTTTGTGGGGAATGGGTTGTTGGGGAGGCGATTTAGAAAGCTATTTCACATTCAGGTATGGTAGCTTAGAAATTCTCAACAACATATTAACTTTACTAACATTTAAGTACAATAAAAGGATTTGATTCTATGTTACACAAAACTGAATATAAAGGAATTTTTCCTCCTAAAGCATCAATGAGGATCTAAGATTGAATCGGGGGGGTTTCTCCTTTATACACCATCAGAGTTTAACTTAGATTTATGTAGAACTGGTAATGTAAGGTGAAAGTTGAAGAAAAGGGTGTTCCAGTGAGAAGAGAATAGACCCAATTTGGGGATTTTAACTAGGTTTTTTTTTTTTTATATCATGGTGGTCCTGTTGTCTTTTGTTTTACTCCGATAGGAGAATCCTGTTATAAAATGCAGGATCTTTGTTGTATGTTTAAAATTTCATTCTAGGGAAAATTATGTTAAGGTAAAAGAAAAAGGTAGAATTAAACATCTTTGCTTTGAAATTTTAGAAATGGTATTGATGTTGTACTTCAGTGAAATGAAAAATCAAGATGGTACATTCTCATATGACTCCTCACATCTATGTTACTAGCCTTGACCTCTCCTTGGGACTCAGGCATAGTCTGCCCAATTGTCTGATGCTCACTAAGTTATCCCAAGGACATTTCAAACTCAGAATGTCCAAAAATAAACTCATTACCTCTTCTCCTCTCAACTAGCCTTTTATCCCATTTGGATTACCCAGTTTCTCAAGCTGGAAATATGAAGTCTGCTCTGACTCCTCCTCATGACTCACATTCACTCACTCACTAAGTCCGGCTGCTTTTCTAACTTCTTCTCTAGCCTTCCCACGAGTGCCCAAGTTCAAGCCTTGCCATCTCTTGCCTGAACAAGATCTTCGTACTATACTTGCCTGAACAAGTATCTTTATACTATACTCCCTGCCTCCAGACTTGCCTGTTGTGATACTTCACAGTAATATATGTAAATTAACATGTGATCATCGTGTGATTCTCTGCTTAAAATACATCAGAGGAACCCCTTCACCACTTCAGCATACCCTACCTCTATCTTTAGCATTTTGAGTGTGGATGACTTCTGGGGATGTGGGTAGGGTGGCTGAAATCATGGGCAACTTTGTATGTGTCTGTGTATCTATATGTGTATGTGTATGCACATAGACTTTTGTTCGACAGGGACCATGGAATTCATTAATTTTAATAATAGCCTGTGACATAAAAAGCTTAAAAAATCATGCACTACAGAGTTAAATCCAAGCTTTTTAACATGGCACTGCAAAATGCTTCCGTGATATTGTACCTGTCTACCTCTTCCTTTACTGCTGCCCACTTTGCTTCATGTTTGAAGTACCAGAACCACTGGACTGCTATTTTTTCTGTATCTACCATTTTGCCTAGGCTCATGCTGTCTTCTTTACCTGGCCTTTCTTCCTCTTTTTTATCTGGCTAACCAGTTGTTAGACTTTCTGAAAGACATAAATACCTTCTCAGAGCCTTCCTGAACCACTAGGATGGGCTATGTTCTCATTTAGCCTGGGCGCATCTTTGTATATTGTTACCACATTATTTTGAAATGATCTGTTCATGGGGTCCTCTTCCCCACTAGAATGTAACTTCCTAAGGACATGGAAACCTGTTTATTCATCACTGCAGTCCCAGCACCAAGCACCTGGCTCAGAGGAGGCAACAATATATACTGATTGATTTGAAGTTAGCAGAATAAAAAGGTTATGGCCAGGAGAGTGATTGTTCCATGAAAGAACTAAACATAAGCAGAGGAAGGGGTTTTCAGAGATGTAGGATAGTAGGTGATTTAGAGGAGACCAGCCAGCCCACAGGGACAAAAGAGGTTTAAACAGGTAGTGACAAACAGAGTAGACAACGGAACAGAAGGACCATTGCCAGCAAGAGCCACCAGAGGAGAGAGGCCGCAGTCAGAGGGTAGATTGTAAGCACCATCCTCAGGACACCAAGGAGGCAGGTGCAGGCACTTAGAAAAGTTCTGGAACTGGTGGGACTAAGGGGACCAGCAGGTTAGGACAACTAAAAATGCTGGCAATGGGATTATTGGGAAAGACAGTTTCCTGTCGTCAGCCTCATGGGCTTGGAGGCACTGATTAAAAGGGAGCACAGTTGTACTGACCAGCAAGTCGTTGCCCTGTGTTTCCATGGTTAGCTTAGCTCCTATGTGGATGCGAGATGGGCTTGTTGTGGGGACTCCTGAGCTGTCAAGTGGGACTGTGGCTTTGGTTAGAAGTGAGAGGATGTGTGTTTGTGTGTGTGTGTTAGCATTTAGCACATGGGTAGGTTTGCTTCCTGCAATTAACAGCAGGAACTGGAAACTAACAGCATCAGCTATTCAAATATGAGTCACTTGAAATTGGAAACTTAAAAGCAGAAGCCTATCTGAAAATGCTTTTCTCTATATGGACTCACTTTTGATTTATTATAGCAAATATTAGTTTTGATAACATTTCTACATACTTGATAGGATTGATCCTTGATAGTCATGTCCTTGCCACTTCTCTTATACCATATCCTTCTCTGCTCCATTCATCAGATTTGTTGTGGTTGTTTCTTTTTTTTTTTTTTTAGACAAACCAATGCAATCTGGAAGATAAATCTTCACCTGTATAGGCTTCCACTATCTTAGTTTATTAGTAATTCTGGTGGTAAATAATATGTGCTCTCAAGACAGACCAGGGTTATATCCCAGAATACCTGTGTTTTAGTAGCCAATATAGCCTTTAAGAAGTTACTTAGACTCCCTGAACCTGCATTTTCTTATCTGTAGTGAGCAGCCAATAATAATACCTGCCTCTCAGGATCAATTGTGAGGATGAAAAGAAATAATTCCTGCCAAGCACTCAGTCATTCACTGGCACAGAGTTAGTGATAGCCATCACCCATGCTTACCATGCCATGTGCTGGGTACACTATTTATTGTAAGTGCTTTATAGGAATTAATTTCACCCTAAAAAACTATGTGGTAGGAATTGTTTTGATTCTAACTTTTATAGATGAGGGAAACTGAGGCACAGAGATGCAAGATTATTTGTAATAATCTAGATTACTACAACTGGATTCAGTAGAACCAGGAATACAAACACAGAATATCTAGCTCCAGAGTCCATGCTTTGGACTACTAGGCTATCCTGGCTCACAAATGCCTCATGTTCTACCAAGTGAGCTCTCTGGCCTTCTTTAATAAATTATTGCTACTCTCAATAGTTTTCTTTTGTGCATTTGCTTTTTTATTTTTGGTATTTTTTTGGTGAATCTGTTTTTGGCTGAATTTCTACCTGTTAGCTTTCTCAGTCTCCCTCCATTAAAATGTAAATCCAAGGAAGCTGGGACCACTGCCACATAAAATAAAAATAGTTCCTGTCACATAATAAAGGCCCAATATGAATCTGCTAACTACATGTGTAATTTGTCTTTTCTAATAGATTACAAATTCATTAAGAATTCAGCCTGACTTCTGTAACTTACATATGTATTAGTAGTACTCTGTATGTATTTAACCAACTACTAAATAATTATCTTACCAATTGCTTAATA